TGACAGTGACAGTGACAGATAATATCGGAGTTGCCATAATTAAATCTTACAATTGCTATTTTTGTGCACGCGAATAGGGATGATGACTAATTTTTGTTTGTTTGTCCGTCAGGTAGTGTATAAAAGAATAAGTTTTTTTTTTTTTTGAAATGAAATGAGTTGAAATTTCGCCTGACGTCACGTCAGAGTGCGTTTTCTACTCAACTGTGACGTAGCGAGCCCCCACTACTCAACTTTAATGCCTGTTATCTAAGCTATTTCTTGTTAAATTGAAGTAAAAAAAATACGTATCTAATATTTTTCTATTATCTGACTGACGGACTAAATAGAATTGCATTTTATTTACCCAGTCATCATCCCTATTGCATATGTGGCAGCCAACTGGTTTACTCAGTCGTCCAATCCGGGATGACTAGCCCTTGAGTCGAATGCTGCCATCCAATTTTATACACAGTTTTCTAGTTGACTCATTGTAAAGTCAGTGCTGGCGCTAACTCCGTTTTTTTTATTCATCCAGTCAACGTTTATTCAATCAGTGTAGCCAGAATGTTAATTTTGTACTATTTTACGTTACTCATCCCTCTCGTGTTACCTTTGTGTTACAAAGATCAAAATGTCGAAGTTTTCAGTTCGTTTTTTAGTTGTGTTTGTAAAATATTTTTACCTCTTCTTATAACAAGCCGTTTGTGTGGCTCAGCCAAGTGGTTAATTCAGCCGTCAAAATGGGCGGCTAGCCCTATATATGATTGACGCCACTCGATTGCTCGGCTGACATCCGATCAGCCGAGTAGCTGAACATACACAACATACTGTAATACAGCTGAACAAAGGTCAGCGAGGTTAAAAAACAATATTAATAATTAATTTATAATTGAGAAGTTTCATGATGTTGATATTATTATACTTATGTAGTGCACAAATAAAATAGTAGTCTATTCAAAAATTTTCTACCTTTGAACTCTGACGTTGTTAAGTTATTAATGGACATTAAATTTTAGTTTTAATATGTGATCATCAGTGATCGGAATTAGGTAGAGTTATTAATGTACTTACACTGATTTCATAAAGCGAAAGAATAAAGTGGATATGCCTCAAATTCCGAGATTAATTTTAAAGAGCAGAAAAAATCCCGTGATTTTTTAAATAAAAAGTTATTTACTTTTACACAATTTAAACTACTGCACGCACGATGTTGTCAAACTTACATCAAAGAAAGAAGAAATAAAGAAATCCCGGGAAGGTCCACATTAATATCAACATTTCGATGCAAGTACATAAATAACTCTACCTAATTCGTACCTCTGGTGATAATTTTTATTTCTTATTTGTACATACAAATAATTTGGTTATTTTTTTATAGAAGTATAAACAATAAGAAGAAAAAGACAAAAATGTATATTATTTTATAACCTACAAAAGGTAAAGATATTACTTTTTATGTATATTTAACTTGTTTAGATATCAATCAGTAATTTCGGTAGCGTGACATCACACGTTAAGGTAACGAATGAGAAGCAAAATTATTCTAACGAACGCAATTTCAAAGTCTTACTTACGTTTTATTTATGGAAAAATATAAGAAATTTTTGACAGTAATTTTTAATATGCTTAATTTTAAATAATATATATATATATATATATATATATATATATATATATATATATATATATATATATATATATATATATATATATATTATCTGCTTCCTTCGAGTTAATGGATGTGCTTATAATAAATATTTACACTGTAACAATATATTTATCCAACTGGGTGTAAAATTGAATGGCGTCATTCGATTAAAGAGCTGGTCACACAATTGAACGGCTGTTTCAACTAGTTGGCTGCGACATTTGCATATCGCTTGCACAAATATCTCGGACAACGAGTCAAACGTCCCTGTCATACAAATGAAAGCTGTTTCATTACAAGCTCACGTTAACATAGCGCCGCACGCACAAATTACTTGAACTATTTATACACAAAAACGCATTTTAAAAAGTTATAAAAAGTTATTTACTTTTATACAATTTAAACTATTGCACGCACGATGTTGCCAAACTTACATCAAAGAAAGAAGAAATAAAGAAATCCCGGGAAGGTCCACATTAATATCAACATTTCGATGCAAGTACATAAATAACTCTACCTAATTCGTACCTCTGGTGATAATTTTTATTTCTTATTTGTACATACAAATAATTATAAAAAATTTATGTGAATTTTGAGGTTGTTGTCATAAAAACATGATCATACTAAATTGCCTTAAATTACGGCAATTTTTGTATCAATGTTAATATTGATACATACCATAAACTAGAATAATTATTTATTTTTCTGGGATAATAATGGTCTCTTGTTCTGTGACAAAAAGTTTATTCTAGATATCTTGGTAGGTTGGTGTCCATGACGTCCGCGTGCGTTGCCATAGATTAATATTGTATGCGTTGCCATCAGAATGAAAAATGCCCGGGGCCATTTGGGCGAATTGGGTTTTTCCCGATTAACGCCCATAAATTCCCTTAATATAAATAGAAAAAATAAATTGATCTATTTATACAAAAAGAAACTTTTTATTCATCATCCCCTAGCATAAACAATTGAAGCTGATAAATTTATTTATTTATTTAGTACACCAACGATTGTTACATTAATTTGATTTAGTAAACTAACTTAATTTAAATTTGCTGAATGTACAATCATTTACAGGTGAACATCTCATGCAAAAACTGAAATAAACATTTACTTAGTTTACGGATCACACAATCTCACTCTATATAAGTGGAATAATATGATTTAGGGGCGGGGAGGGGCGTTACTCCACTGGTTTTGGATTTGTGTAGTCATTGGTCGGAGCATAGATTTCATCAATGGTGATGTTTCAAGCTTTCTAATATCACAATAACAAATAAGATTCCGAATTAAAAAAAAAAACAGATTTTAAACACATTTGAATTGAATACATTTCATCATTAACATCACAATGAGAAAATTATTAACGACAGCTCTAAATAAAGGATATATGAAGAAAATAGCTGGTTCAAGGTTGGTAACAGAAGTATTTAAAAATAACATTAGTTCCCGAAATCAAACTAGATGTGGCCACGGCACTTTCTTGATTGCTCCATGACAACCCTTCCGGTTTTCTTTCATGTATAAAAGTAACTTAGTTTTCAAAACTCAAAAAACAACTCATATTCTATTTGTATTAATATCTAAGTTTCGAACTTTGCAAATTTCAGTTTTAATAATATGTTAGTTAAAAGGAACGGAAAAGTCTATCTTTGGTCTATTATTTTCCTGCAAAAATCATCTTTTGCTAGAGTCGCCATCTAGTGGAGGTGCTTTTTTTGTAGCTTTCTTATTTTTTAAATACTTTTCATTATTTCTTTCCTCATTATTTTAATAATAAAAAATTTCAAAGATCTTATATCTTCCCTGACTTTAGGGTTGACTTGGATTTTTCCCTGACTTTTCAGAAAGTGGACATCCTGAATATATATTTATGCCCTTTGATTGGACAAATAAGATTTATTCCCAAAATGCATGCGTTTCCCTATCTACACGCCGGACGGAAACACATTGCCCATCTCTAGTTGCCATAGATTATTAGTACTTGCGTTGCGCCTCAGATGAAATATCTTGCGTGGTAAGACTAAAAAAGTATGTATACTTTATTCCAAAATATCAAAAAGTATAGTTTATCAAAAATATTGAATTAATTAACACTACAATTTATTTATACACCTTAACGAAAAACACAAATACAGTTCATTGATATTTATTATATATGTAATACAAACAAAATAATTCAATCGGCGGTCTTTATCTTACCGCCAGGAAAGCAATGAATTATCTTATAATCAATATTTTGCAATTAAATTAGATATAAGACGTAACGGGGTATTCACAAATAAAAATTCAATCTTGCCTACATTAATTCCTTTATTGAATAAATTACAAAAATCGTAATGTAAAACTCTGGCAGTACATCTGCTTAAGGCTCAAATTATATATACGAAATCTTCCAATTGAAATCGCACCAAATCATATGAATACAAGGCTTCACTTCGGACCTTACTCATTTAAGTGGGTGAGAAAATTCAATATTGTATTAAGATTCAAACTTAAAATGCCACAGAGATGCAGTACCACTCTCTACAGACTAACTTAATAAAACTGCGAAAACTGACTTAAACTATGCAGTATACTTAGGTATAGTAGGTACTAATGAATACATTGATAGAGATTTGAAAGAGACACACCAAAGAATCGACAACCGCAAACCAATAACCCCATCAAACGCCAGCATAAATAAGGCACGTTTGGTTTAAATTCTACTCAGATTAGTCCATTTTTCGGTGTAAACTTTCCATGGCAGTAATAAAGCATTTAAGCATTTTCATTCTTAGCAACATAACAGTTTGCAAAGAGATAATGTTTCATAAAACTCACGTTTTCAACAATGCAATAAATTACAGTTGGCTGAAATGACTGCTATAGATTTATTACTAAATAAAATTAGTAGACGCATCTCTGTGGCGATATTGAACTTCAGGTATTTACAGTTTCCATATGCGAATACATATTTGGAATGGATAAAAGCTTAGACTTTTAGAATACATAATGCTACGTCCAAAATTAAAATTAAAACACAAGCATAAATACTATTCAATTATTTATCTTCCATTAGAATATGATTTGTTGTTCATAGGCATTAATTTTTGAGATGAACTTTCAAAATACAGTTAATAGATTCATACTTGTTACTAAACAAGAGGCATGTTTTTTGAAAGCTGTGTGTGATGTGCTACTCCAAAAATTTGTTGGAAATTCGAAAACCGGTAAATAAAAAAATATTTCATAAAAAAAAATGTAAATGTTATATTTACAGTTTGTATTGTCAAGGTGTAGTTAACAAATTGTATTATGTAGCTTCATATTTCAAAATATCGTATTAAGTACCTATAGTAAATGTGTCCTTTAGGTAAACAATAGGTGTAATGTAATTGCAGTTTTTATTTCAGTGTACTTATTATTATTACATTGTGTTCTGAATAACAGACATATTGACATCGGAACAGTAAATCTACTAGAATTGAAACTTCTGCCTTTAAAATCTTAAAATAATGAGAAGCGATGCAAATTCCAGTGTTAAAGTGAGATAGTACTATACGAGTTTGTAGACCTATCTCGTTTCAGCGACTGTGATTGCTTCGAGTTGGGAACAGGTAACTAACTGGTTTTGTGATCATCATTATTCTTAGCAACCTGCAAAAAAGAAAACCAAAAATAGTTATTTTATCATAATAAATTAGATACAAGAGTTTGCCTATTTAATTGCATGAACACATTAAGTGTACATACAGCAGCATATTCAGTATTAAAATGCCAAATTACAACAATTGGAGTTGAACGATACTGTCAACCCTGATATGCTGTTTCTTTTTTAACGCAAGATTTCCCCCATTCAGTAATAGGTTCTTTTTTTGTCTAACATTAAGTATGTTATTATGATTTTTTTTTCTTTTTTGAGGTGTTTTGGATACACCCATGTCCCGATATGCTGTCGGCCGTAGTACTTTTTTTAACTCGAGAATATTAGTCTGTATCAAATTCTTAAAAAGAATCAAAGTGGAACACGTCAATGACAACCAATTTTGATTAACACTTAAGTACTTGTCAAATTTAAGCAATTATTTTGACTTTTACGTGTAAAGACCAAAAACGTGACGTTGCCGGAATTGTGTAAATGCAAAAAGGCCATGAATTAAAAAAGAAGAAGAAGACTTAGATCGGTCCTGCGATTCTGTAAAAATCTAAACCAGAATTTTTATTCACTTAAGTGTCCAAATTCAGTTTAAAAAGAGGCATCCGCTCAATCTTGCATTAGTAATAACGTTACGTGACATAAGTGAATTGGATTTCGAAACGACATAGGAATAGAATATCTGATCAATGTTATTTTATATTTTTATATAAAAAATAGAATCAATACAATTTCAACACTAAGTGACGTGAATTGGAATTCGTATTGGCATTTTAACTGAATCGCTCTGCTGGTCCGGAGATTTCTGAAAGACAATGACATAAAATCGAGTGAATATACATACTCGGGTGTTCGGGAACAGCTAGCGGCTAGTGTATGGCGATGAGTCCGGACTCGAGCAGCTTCTGTATCTTGGCGGCGACGTGCGGGTTGCGCAGGTGGTCCTGCAGCGCGTGCGGGTCCTGCTGCATCTGGTCCAGGATGCAGCGCATCGCCGGGTCGCGCAGGATCTGCTGCACCTCCGGGTCGGACATCGCGCGCTTGCGGACCTAACCATCGCAACAGACGGACGCTTATTGGTGTGAAACGGGGCTATCTTATTTGTTTTGTCCAAGTCGGGCACAGCAAATTTTGAGAGGGAGGATGCTATCAATAAAATAAACAGTTTAGGTTTTGAAAATTTAACTATTTAATGATTAAAAGCTTGGTTATCTTTTTTCAATGGAATCAAAAACATAATACTGTAAATTCAGTCCAGTGTTAATGAACAATTATGAAAGAGGAAAACTTGGGTTCGTAATTTTCTAGAAGACAAGTGCTTCTTTCTACAGCAGAAAATTGCAAACAAAGTTGTTGACAGAACTAGCTCCCGTAGACGAACTATGTGAACTAGTTCCTAGATTTTCCGTTGCGTAGTTTTTTATTTATTTAACAGAATGTGTAAAGGTGAGGTCGACCGAATCAATGTCGTCGGGTTAAAAAAATAAAGGCGAATAATATAAAGTATATTATTCACTACCTAAACTATAAACCTAGTTACTTACATTAAAAAAATATATTTTATGGATATTAGTTCATATGGTTATTTATATTATTTTTGTATACTAAAATTTGATAAAAATGTACAATGAATGAGCAGTATCAAAATGAGCAAATGAACTGCCTTAAAATAATTAAATATAAGGCAGATTATTTGCTCGTTTTAAAATTGTAATTTACAATTTTAAATATATAGGTTCTATATAACTACGAGAGCGAACTATTTTGTTTAGGAGCCGCGAACTAACTCACTTGATCTCAGTTGAGAACTATTACGCCCAAGATCAATTAGTTATTTGCCCAGAATAGGAATTAAACACAACCAACCACAGGTTCAATATGAAAAGGTCAGTATTAACAATTTCAGCATCCTTGGATTGACCTTATAATAATGATGACAACATCAACGGTAAGTTTTATACTTTAAAAATTCAATGTTTGTATAGGGACATTATAAGCACAATGCAAAACTTGGATCATACCTCTTCAGGATTAGAATTAAGTTGTGTAGAGCAGGCGCGGTATCCTTCGAGAGCTTCAGCATTGCTAGGATCCAACTCCAAAGCTTTTTGATAAGCATTCTGTGCCTTTGCATGTTGTTGCATACCCTGAAACACATGTGGCAGTTAAAGCAGGCCATAATAAGAAAAAAGATTGTGATAACAGAGGATAGCATAGCCCATCAAAGTATTTTCTAAAATTTCCAAAAAAATCATGTGATTACTGTAACTATGCTTCAATTTTTTTTTTTTTTTTTAATATGCTTCAAGACTGTTTTTCAACAAAGCAACTCACATATTTATTATTTTCAAAACAAAAAGAGATGAATAAGATTGTAAATTTTCTAGGTAACTTTGATATTTTCATCTATCAAGAAAATTCTACGAATTATTTTTTTTACTATAACAAACCTTTAGGAACAATGCAGTTTATTTGGATAATATCTCTTTATACATAACACATATTCATGCATGATCACAATAAAAAAAATTCAGTAAAAAGTGTTTAAGACAATTTTAAAGGGTACAAAAAATTAAGAACGTCAACAAAAAAGACCATGTTGTTACAATGTTAACATAAAAAAGACAACCAATATTTTAAAATATAACCTATTAAAATGCTTAGACAAATGTTGGTCTTAGTTGTGATCTAACATAGTTATATAATAGCCAATTAAGACCCATTCAATTTTACCTGTAAGATCTTTCCCTTTCGAATCCATCCTTTGATAAACTTAGGATCAAGCTGGCAGCACTGGTCACAATCCTTTAAACCTAAATCGAAAGCTGCAAGTTTTGTGTAACATGCGGCACGATTCGAATATAACTTGGGGTCGTCCGGATTGCGTTTAATCGCTTCAGTGTAATGTTTAACTGCTGCACTGTAGTCACCTAGATGAAGTAATAAAGAGAAAGTATTTTATTATTTTATAGGTCTATACGATTTCATACAACAGGTCTTTACAATGTGTAAAATCAAATTCACTACTAGTTATAATACTCCTGAAAAAAAAAACAGCAAAAGTATGTAAGATACTGATTAGTTTTCATTCAAAATATAATATAAAGTTTCAACTAACTATTGGTGGGAATAATGATAATGACCCTGCTGCAAAGTGATAAGAAATATGTGTAATCTACAGTAAAGAACATGTAATAAAATAAGCTTCATGAATTTCCTATAAATACACCAAACATTCTTTGAATATCATGTATAAACAAATGTTAGTTACAAAATTGTGTTTCAAATGATTCCTTTTTCATCACTCTAGCCAAATATTAATCAAGTCACAAGTCAAAGGTCTTCCTTGTCAAATGTTAATTTAGTCTGAAAACTAATCAAGTATTTTAAATTAAAATAAGGTTGTAAAAACATGCAAGGTTATTTATTAATCTGGAAAATTCAAATATTTTTTTTGTCTAATATGAATTGAACAGGTTCAATACTTATAAAATCAATGTACCATACATTGTGTCACTTTGTATGCAATGCTCTAGCTTATGTTTTTTTAATTTCAAATAAAAGGGCAGAACAATGGTTCCCAAAATTGTAAAGGAGGAAAGGAAAATTTAAAGATCTGCAATTTCCTATCTTTTTCATGTAATTAATGTGTGAGATGTCTTACCCTTTTTAAAATACTCATTGCCGAGTTCCTTTTCTTGTTCTGCTTTAACTGGATCGACATATGCTTTCTTCTCTTCTTCAGCAATCTTCCTCTCCACCTCACTAAGCAGTGTTTTGATTTCTGGAGTGCGATGTTCTGACATAGATTTCTCAAAATATGTTTTTGCCAATTTCCATTGTTCCATCTTTTTGTATGCGTTTCCTGAAGTAATTACAAGAGTTTAAAACATATATTTATTTAATATAAAAAAAAAATCTAGTTTTAGTTTGAAATACAGTTTAAAATATATATTATAAATTTCCATGAAGAATTGAAAAAAAAAAGAAGTCAGTTCTGATAATTAGCATTGTGTGCTTTAATATAATGTTAATTATTGCTTAGTTTATGTAATCATACTAGCTTTGTGGTGACTTTACTACCAAATACCCTAATTGAAATATTATTTTAAGTAAACTAATAAATATTCACTTACCAATTCTAGTGAATGCTTTAGCTATTAATTTAAAATCTGCTCTATTCTCTCTACCAATTTCAATAGCCTTTTCACATTCTTTGATGCATTTCTCATATTCTTTTTGTTCAAAATACACAGCAGCCATATTAGTATAGAATGTTATATCAGTTGAATCATGTTCTATGGCCTTCTGATAGTGTTTTAAAGCATTTTCAAAGTCTTTTTTCTTATAAAACTCATTGCCTTGATCTTTTTCTAGTAAAGCTAGTTTTCGGTTCTCAGGTAAATCGTCATATTTTGGTTTAGGTGGCTCTTCTTTCTTTGGTGGTGGTGAAGGTTTCTTCTCTGCTGCTGGCGGATCTACATCCATTGGTACATTTATATCAACACCAAACATAATACCGATGGTTGTGAGAATTCTTTTGTCTTGCATTTTAGCATCAAGAGACTGAATATCAAATGGATTTAAAGCAAGTTTCTGTAACAAAGAGAAATCATTCCAAGTGACATTTTCAAATGAATTAACATATTCATGAAGCAATGCAGCAAGCTGACAAACACACTTATGTTAAATTATATTTTTAAATTGTTTACTGATTGATTTTTATAAATAAAACAATGTTGAAATGGGACACTGAAATTTACTAAGTCTGATAATGTGGTCTTTTTAACTTACAGAGAATTAACAAATATTGAGTTTTATTTCTCTTTATTAAACTTTTAGACAAAAATTCTTACCTCAACTATTTTTACATATTCTGGATCTTTCAACCATTCTCTTGTCTGTGGATTAGCATGTAACTTAGCATAAATTTGTTGTATTTTCATCTGTGCCTCATCAGCCTGCCTCTTAACTTCAGCTAATCCAGACGCGAGTTGCTGGTTATTGGGATCTAACTGTAAGCCTTTTTGATAACTCTCAATAGCCTCCTCGAATCTTGCTAAATATGCTAAAGCACTGCCTTTTCTAGAATATCCTTTGCTCCAACTGGGGTTTATTGAAATAGTTTTTACAGCGTCTTCAAGAGCAGCTTCATAATTACCAGCTTTAGCATGAGCCGCCGATCGATTACTGAATAAAACGTGGTTCTGAGGGTCTAAATTTAATGCACTTGTGTAAGTCTCTATAGCTTCTTTATAATTACCCGAAGAGAGAGCTGCGTTCCCTTTCTCTTTTAACTGATTTACCTGAAATTTTGGAAAATTATAAAAATTACATATAATACACAAAAAACCATTATGACCAATATCGATATAACCTCGTTACCTGATCCATGATTTATTCCAAATTTATGAAAACCCCACGTTTCTTAAAAATACCACAGATATGAAAACGATTTCCACTTGTTGTAGCGAAGCTGATTCACAATAAGTTCTCGCCTTTGTTTTTTTCTTCTTCGAGACAAGCCGTCCGTTCTGCCGCAGAAATCACCGTATTAATGACACTTCAAATTCCAGAAAATTCTCGGCAAAATGCCATCCTTTAGCTATCTACGTTCCGTTTCGAATTTATTATAATGAAGCTTAAGTATTTGACTCGTTATTTGCGCGTGTTACGGAACGTAGTCAATAGAGACGTCTATCTTTAATTCAATACTATTCTCTGTGATTTAATTAAAGGTTGATCAGATTTTAATAAATATTCAATTATATTTTATTATTCTTATTGCACTTTATTATTATAATTAACTTAAAATTTAAGGCTCTGGTAATATAATTCTAATCTAGTGTGGTTTTTTTTATATTTAAATAGAGTGCTTGACATTATTAGAAATAAGTTGCTTGATGTGGTCATCCTATTAGGTAATAATTTAATAATGTTTATTTCTTAGAATCTGCAAACAAAATATGTTAATCTTTAGTAAAATAACATAAAAAAAAAATACAAGATTTTTAGCAATTTAATGAACGACGGAAACGCCCCTAATTTGTTGTAAATGTAACATCACACGTCAACAGGAAGTTGTGATGTCAAAACAGTGTTATTAGGATACTCAAAAATTGAATTTAAACAAACAAAGAGGAAGTATTTAAAATAAAGAAAGCACTAAAAAGCACAAATAGAATATGATTTGTTTATTGAGTTTTAAAAATTAATTAACTTTTATACATGAAAGAAAAGAGGAATCAAATAAAATCAAATCAATGTGGTAACAGTACAGACATTAAAAAATACTTTGTTGCTCAAAAAAAGTATTAGAGCGATATGTGGTGCTGTACCTGATGAACAACCCTTCCGATTTTCTTTTATGTTAAAAGCAAATTAGTTTTGAAAACTCAATAAACAACTCATATTCTATTTCTACTTTTTCGTATTTGTTTTGATATATTCCAGTTTTTTAATATGTTAGTTAAAAGTAACGGAAATGTCTGTCTTTGGTCCATTCGTTTCCTGCAAAAATCAACTTTTGCTAGAGTCGCCATCTAGTGGAGGTGCTTAATGCTTTCGTTTTTTTAAATAGCTTCCTTATTTAAGAAAGAAAACGCTTCGAATTAAAACAAAGGTAAAGGGATATTTGTCTATTGCCTAGCCTTCGGTAGGGGTACTTTGGGGTATTTACGAAATTTAATTTATCGGCGGGGAAATGCCGATAATGATATTAAATTAAAAACATTTATCTAGTAAAGATTTTATCTAGTAAAAGCCTGTTTAATAGTTAACTTTACCGACACAAAATGCCTGATTTGTTGTTAATTCATAATTACATTAATAATTACATTTATTAAATGCAGATATGTAGCTAATAAACCAGTACTTTATACCTTGCAGATAATTATATATTTTTAATTACCAATTACTCACTACGATGATCAGAAAATTAGGAGGTTAACTGTTGGACCACTCACCCTACATCGTTAATTTAAACACTACGAGTCATTTAAAACAAAGGAAACCTACATCGCCCACAATGACTTTCATTACCAATTCGCATAAATAGAACGTCCAACCTACACCGGTCGGACCTCGGAACCCTGGGCTAATAACATCTAGCTCGGAGGGAAACAATTACCCTTTAGTCTCCCTTGCCAATTGTCTCAGGCATTCAGTAGACAACACCTTCACCTTGAGGTTCCTACGATATATACGGTAAAGATAGCAATAAAAAATACATAAAGTTGTTAATTCGTGTTTGAGTCCGGTCGGGTTAAATATTATTAGGTTTTTCTGTCGAGTCGGGTGCTGCCAATATAAAATATTAGATATTGCTAATATACTCGTAGACGTACAGAATTGTATGTTTATGTACTATGTTGAAATTTGCCGTGATGGGTGTTTTTTTTTTATACTTTATAGATTAACGCTTGACTACGATCCCACCTGATGGTAAGTGGTGATGAAGCCTTGGGTGGTATAGCGCATTAACTTATTAACAGCCTATTCACTCTTGATTTGAAGACATTCACATCATAATCGGACGGAAAATTCAGACACTGGCAATTTATTCCAGTCCTTGGCGGTACGCATCATAAATGACGAATCGAATCGCGCCGTTCTTACCGGAGGAATGTTGACGACGAAAGGATGGATACCGGTCGTGCGTCGAGACCAAAGTCGAGACGTTCGATGGTAGAACGGGGAGGGGGGAATTAGGTCGTGCAATTCCAGCGTACACTCTACAAAATGTATCCTGTAGAATACCGAGAGGCTAGCAACTCTGCGCCTGTGCTGAAGGCTATGCAGATTGGTTTCAACCAATTTCGGGTAGCCAATAAGCCTCCTCGCACGCCTCTACATTGAATTCAATGCGGAAAGGTGGCATTTTGCGGCGCAAGCCCAAATGTGGCAGCAGTAATCCACACATGACCGAACCTGGGCTTTGTACAACATCAAAAGCTGTTCTGGTGTGAAGTACCGCCGGACCTTTGCTAAGATACCTAGCTTTCTAGCTGCCGTTTTAGCTTTGGATTCAATGAACCGCCCAAAGTTAAGGTTAGAGGATATCTCTACTCCCAATAAATGAAGGCGGTCGGTGTATTCCAAGGAGACATTTCGGAGAGCCAATGTGAACGGGCTCCATTTGGCGGTGAACAGACACGCCTGTGTTTTGGTGACGTTGAATCTCACAAGGTTGGCATCGCCCCATTCGGAGACTGCCTGAAGTGTGAGACTCATAAGGGCTACCATGGCCTCTCTTTCAGACTGTATTTGGTCTTTACTGGCTCGGGCGTTAGGCAGGTATCTCTCCACAACTGTACTGTCATCTGCGTATCCATAGATACCGAGTATGAGCAGATCGTTAATGTGCAATAGGAAGAGAGTTGCGGAGAGAACAGACCCCTGAGGAACTCCGGCATTGATTGCGATTGCTTGTGATGAACGGCCATTGACAACGACTCGAAACGAACGTTCTCTCAAGAAGTCATTGATCCAGCTGATCAGGGCCCAGGGATAAGCCGTACGATGGAAGCTTGTTTATAAGGCTAGCGTGCCAGACCCTATCAAAGGCCTTCGAGACGTCGAGGGAAACAACAATCGCTTCCCTGTTTTTCTCGATGGCCTCGCCCCATATGTGAGTAATATACGCTAGAAGATCTCCTGTAGACCGGTTTCGGCGAAACCCGTACTGTCGGTCACTGAGGAGATCATTGGTATACCATTAGGCGTCTGTTCAATATACGCTCCATAATCTTGCAGAGTATGGAGGTAATTGAGATTGGCCTATAGTTGGACGGATCAGCACGGCTTCCTTTTTTGGGCACAGGCTGCACATTGGCAAGCTTCCAAGATTTGGGCACTATCCCAGTCTGAAATGAGAGGCGAAACAAGCGCGTCAATACAGGAGACAACTCGGGCGCGCAGCGCTTTAGTACAACCGCCGGTATACAATCAGGCCCACTAGCTTCTAGTCTAGGCTTCGCATAGTTTTTAGGACCTCATTACTAGTAATGTGGACCTCCGGCATAGAGGTACCGTAATGAGGTATCTGTGGCGGAGTGTTGGTGCTAGACGCGAGTTTTCGGCAAAGAGAGATGCGAATAGGTCCGCTTTATCAATTGCCGCGTGGGCCAGAGAGCCATCCGGTCTTACCAGCGGAGGCAGCGTAGGCTTACAGAAATTAGCTTCGACCGCTTTGGCGAGTGATCAAAATTCTTTTCTGCCCGAAGGCTAGGCCGAGAGTTTTGCGCCGATAAGTCTTATGCGGTCGTTACCAGCTTTCTGTAATGCCTTCTTGCAGGACTTGGCAGCTAGGTTAAAGGCTTTCTTCTTGGATTTTATATCAGGATCTTTGCGGTGTCGAGCATCAACCCAGGCGATATACGCCGAACGCTTACGCTTTTCTACTTGAACGCATTCGGTGTTAAACCATGGGCGAGTTTTGCCACCGTCAGGCACGTCACAAAACGGTATGAAATACTCCATGCCTTGACGCACCACATCGGCTATAGCGTCCGCGCAGCTCGACGGATCTCCAGAAGAAAAACAGACCTCACGCCAAAGATAACATGCAAAAAATTATCGCATCTTATCCCAATCAGCTGACCTGTAACGCCATAATCGCCTTACACCTCCTGAGTCCTGATTTGGAGGGGAATAGGACGAAACAGATTTCACCAGACAGTGATCCGAGGTACCTAATGGGGAAGAAACCTCAACTGAGTTTTGAAAATCAATTTGCTTTTAAACTTGAAAGAAAACCGGAAAGGTTGTCATGGAAAAATCAAGAACGTCCCGTAACGACATCTAGTTTGATTTCGGGAGCTAATGTTTTTTTTTTATACTTCCTCATCAAATGCGTTTTGAATTTGCTAGTTTTTTAATACGTTTCGTTTTTGTGTATTTACATTATTAACTGTTGATATGTAGATTTATTTTTTAATCTGTTTATTTATATATTTAATATAATACTGCTTTCGCTTTAATTTCTTAGGGAAATGTTTAGTGGGATAAAAAGTATCGTATTATCTAAGTCAGCTAATACCCTATCTGTATACCAAATTTCATCAAAATCCGCTCAGTAGTTACCGCGTGATTAAAGGACAAACATCCAAACAAAGAAATTTTCACATTTATAATATTATTAGGATTTCAAAATAATTTTGTTAGTAGTGTCACGCTATACGTGACAACCTACTAGTTATTATTAGATAGTTATTTATTTCGCTAATCACATATATGTATTTATTACGATAGTTACATCAAACAACAAATGAATAACGCAATGGCAATACAAAATAAAAGAAATACAAAAGTCAGAGATTACTAACGCCCTTCTTTTTTTTAGGCGAAGGAAACTAAACACATAGCTAAACTAAACACATTTATAATGTGTGGAATCACTGATTACACCCGAATTGAAGTTAGACTAAACGTTGTTACTAAGTCGTGTCTAGATCACATATTTACTCGATTCCGCACACTAAGTCCATACACGGCGGCGCTCGACGTCACACTGGCCGATCACCGAGCGGTGATCCTTGCGTGCATTGGCGATGCTATGCCCGCGCGTATACAGCATGTAACGAGACATTCAGTAGATTATGATATTTTGAAGCAGCAATATAAAAAAGTAAATTGGATGTCAACAAATAAAATGACATGTCCTAATAGTATTTATAATTTTATTCGTGAGTCGATTCAAAATGCAACTAGGGCTGCGACATTTACGGAAAGTTATAAAGGTTCGAAACGATTTAAAGTTCCATGGATAGATGAAAATGTCACTCGCTTATGTAAAAAACGTAACCGATTATATAAATTATGGAAAAAGAACACAAGTAACTTTGAATTGAGATTAGAATATAATAAAGTCCGAAATAAAGTTCACAGAGTATTAGAAAATAAAAGAAATTCATATTACATAAAATTAATAGAAAATAACTTTAAAAATATTAAAAAGATTTACCAAATAGTTAATCAAATGTTGGGACGAGTGACATTGTCAATCGACACAGCTATTATGAAGGCTTTTGATGCGCAAGGCCTTAGCTCAAAAGCTATATCTGATAATTTCGCGGTTTACTTTGATAAAGCTGTAAAGAGCGTGGTTCCTAACTGTAAATCAAAATTGTTAGATCCTACCATGTATTCTAAAACACTTAACTGTAGTATCTATTTCAAAAAAGCTACGTGTGGGAATGTACGAGAAATTGTTAGAAAAATGAACTCAAATAAGACTCCGGGACTGGATAATATCAAAATAAGTCATATAAAGTTGATGGAGCAAGATATTTCCACAGCTATTGCTAATTTAATTAATTGCAGTGTGAAATATGGCTTCTACCCTAGTGAGTTAAAGTTGGGTTGTGTTAGACCAATCTATAAAAAAGGTAAACATGACCAGTACTCAAATTATCGCCCGATTACTTTACTTTCGACAGTGGACAAGATTGTTGAGAAGTATATTTGCGAGCAAATCCACAATTTTTATAAAAAACATAAGGTTATATATGAAAATCAATTTGGATTTCAGGCTGGGAAAGGTACGGCTGATTTGTTAGCCAAATTTACAGATGAGATAAATAACCACTTGGACAATAAAAATACAGTTTTAGCTCTGTTCATTGATTTTTCGCGGGCTTTTGATACGCTAGATCATAACCGACTTATTGACAAGCTCGATAGTTGTGGTATACGTGGCCCATTACTGAAATGGTGCGACAACTATCTTAAAAAACGCAAATTCAGAGTTAAGATTGGAGACTCACTCAGCGAACCGGTTGAACAGAATATTGGTACGGCCCAAGGTTCCGTATTGGGCCCGGTACATTTTTTGACTTATGTCAATGAATTAAGTAATATTTTAAATCATTCTTCTTGTTATCAATTCGCTGATGATACATGTCTTATCGTCGCGGGCAAAGACACGGAAGTAGCTTGTGGGCTTTTACAATCCGATTTTGACTTATTAACTGGGTGGTGCCACGATGCTGGTCTGGTATTAAATTGTAATAAAACTAAATTATTAGTTATTCAATCTCCCTATGTAAAACGCTTTCCTACAAAAACAATAGTAGCCCATAATCATAACTGCCTACACAATCCCAACAATACGTGTTACTGTCCTGCAATAGAAGAAGTCAGCTCGATAAAGTATCTTGGGTTACTTATAGATAATAAATTTAACTGGAGCAAACACATAGAATACGTCTGTAATAAGCTTAGACAATTTTTAGCAAATATAGTAATTCTAAAAAATCGAATTCCTTTCAAAATGAAACTACTGTTATACCATGCATTGGCCGAGTCCTATGTTCAATACGGTATTAGTAGTTATGGTCGCACCTATAAATCGTACTTGAATGAAATATATAAACTTCAAACTAGAATACTAAAAAATATAGTCTCGGATAACATTAAAAAAGAATATAGAAATGAGGAAATCGGTCTATTTAAGCATTGCCGCGTTCTACCTGTAATGACACAATACAAATACATTTTTCTGAAACAACACTATTTTGATAATAGGATACAGATTGAACGTCAACATCCTGTATTTACTAGAGCAGTTGCTGAGCGCCGGCTGTGTACCGCTCGTGCGAATAATACATACGGCGAACGCACTGCAGTGTACCTGGTACCTCGGTTTATTAACGAATTACCCACAGAATTAAGAAAAAATATTACATTAGCAAATATTAAAACAAAACTTAAAACATACTTTTTAAACAACCTAGCATGAAATAGAATTGAGAAATGGAGGCACACCGTGTCTGTGTTAAGTGTAAATTGTTGTAAACCTAATTAATTAGTACAGATATATAAACAGCATTGGCACAAACCTTCGTGGTTTATAAATGCTGTAAAAAAACTTAAAAAGTGTAACTATGTTTAATTATGTAATGTAAATAAAAAAAAAAAAAAAAAAAAAAAAAAATTAACCTTTTAACCGACAGGCACTCTTATAATATATAGGTACATTCGATTAATTGTAAAAATGGTTTATACTTAAACAGAAAAATCGTATGTCGACTTTCAAGGGTGATATATTGATTAACTGAAACTTGTTAATACTACATATCGATTTAGAATTGGTCTTTAGATTTTAATATTTGTTGGTGTAGTGGCAACAGAAATACACCATCTGTGAAAATTTCAACTGTCTTGTTATCACGGTTCACGAGATACAGCCTGGTGGCAGACAGACGGACTGATGGACGGACGGATGGACAGCAAATAGTAATTGGGTCTCGTTTTTACCCTTTGCGCACGGAACCCTAAAAATATGTAGTAGGTTAGCGATGGTACATTTCAAGGTTGGTTTGTATGATATTTCAACATTATTCGTCACTCGATATGTAGTAGTAGATAGTGTTCGTAAGTATAACTACATTGCGACGATCGAATGGATGTGCCCACAAATCGGTGGATTGCAAATCGCCAAAATTTTTCGTTAAAGTAATTACGGTAACCGCGGCGTGTCATTGCCGTCCGCCGCCGCCGCAAGGTTTAATTGATAACAACAATCAAATACCATTGATTGTAATCGACTTTTATCGACTAAGCTGAACAATGAACGATATCGATTTTTTAAAGTAGGTAATAATCGCCCATCGCTATTCTACACTCTTTGTCGTTTGATCTGACAAGTGTTTTATTTCATTTCATTGATTTTCTAAGTTTTTACACAAAAGCACTGGCGTGTTCCTAGAATGTAGTTTTATTAACCGATACGTAATTAATATTTTTAATGCTAGATTTCAGTGAAGACAACATTGAAGTGCTAATTTATGTATATAAATTGTATTCATCGATAAACATACAGACGCTTGTCACGCTAATCACTATTTTGCAGTCGTAATTGGATCTTGAACGCTGTGGGGAATACCAAGTGATGCATTAATGGACGGGTGATTGAGCGTTTGTTTGGTATAATTATTGGCGCGGTTTGATATCCCGCTGTTGTTGAGTGAGTCATTCGAGGTGTGTAACCATGGACACCGACGATGGAGAATCATCTAGCAGCGGTCCTATGTCTAGCTTGAACAGTTTGTTTTCATTCACAAGCCCGGCAGTAAAGAAGTTATTGGGTTGGAAGCAGGTCAGTAGTAATTTATTCCTGTAATAAAATATCAAAGTCTCAATAGCTATAATGTTTACTGTCCCTGTCAAGATTTTAATATATAATTAGGGAAAGAAACCAGTTTCCTTAGTTTAGATAGATAATTTGTTTATTAAACAATTACCACACACACACACATGATGTACTATAAGTAGTTGAAAATGGTTGTGATATGCTGAGTTGGTGTGAAAATTGTTAGCAATAGATGGCAAAAAACTTCACAATATTACACCAGTACCACTACACTAAAGTGTGAAGGAGAAACCCAATAGGTATATAGTAAGTTATTTAGTTACTGCTGGATGTTCCATAGAGGAATAGATTCCAATTTTTAAACCCGAGAAGTCAATGATAGATAGATACACTTCTACACTTCTTCATACACTTCTCATTAAAAATTACCAACCGTGTCTATATAACTGGTTCAATAGAAAATTGTACAGTATTTTAGACAATTAAAGGATTAAAAGCCTCTAATAGGTGTCTTTAATTTAGTTTTAAAGGGAACAACATTCCCTATATATAGTTCTGGTACTATTACCATTCAGTTCAATGTACAAGTGTAGAGAGCCAAAAGCAGCAGGGGAGCAGGGCACCCAAGATTAATAAAATCAAAAGTAAGACAATAGTAATGAATAAAATCAAGTTTGTTTCAATCAATATAAATTGATAGTCAATATTTGTTTCAAACTGAAACATTTTCAAGTTTGTAACACACTCTTTATATTCATAAAATGGAACTTTTCATACATTTGGCTTGCTTAAAAACTATCAAGTAGTTTACTGGTTGTATGTGGAAGTGCAAAAAGTTATTATCTATTATTAATGTATGACTCATAGTTCACAGTCATTGATTCTCTGAATTCCAATTCATGACTTATACTTGTTTACAACCATTGAACACTTGCAAAAAAAAGTTTGGATATTTATAGGAAATACTGGTGGTACATAAGTGGTAATAATTTCGAAAAAAAAATATACTATATTAAATAATAGTTTTGCAAAGGTTATATTAACTGAAAAATTTTTGAAGCAATGAAACATTTGGCAACTACAAAATTGAAATTCAGTCTTCAACTGCCAATGTTAATTCTGATTGGGCTCCTGTTACAAAATTCTAATCTTTTCTTACCTAACCAATATTTTTCAAAATTTTTATTAATTCAAAATTTTAGTATCTATAATTGTTAAAATAAGTAAATATTACTTAATTTTAGTACCTATTATAAACAAGGCAAGACGATATTGAGAAAATAATCATATTAATTATTTATTATTATTAATTTTAAATACAATATTCAGAAAACGTTGGTAGCCATACAACCACCAATATAAACACAGGCTCATTATTAATAGTTTACAGGCTCATTATTTTTAGTGTATGCCAGTTTCTGTTGAATATGTCTGTTAACTAGAAAATAAATTGTTATATCCATCACATATTAAAGATTATTGATTAATTATTCAATTAAAAATTGGCAACAATATGGAACAATGCCTTGGTAAAAATTGAAATTCCATTAAGTCCCTTAATCAGACAATAGAAAAATATTAGATATGTATTTTTGTTTGATCCAACTAGAAATAGTTTAGATAACAGGCATTAAAGTTAAGGAGCGGGGGCTCATTATGTTCGTAGAATATGTACAAAAGCATGATGTCATATGACATTTTAACTTGTCTAAATTTATTGTAATTTATCATATATGGTTAATTTCCTTCAATAATCTACCTGATGGACAGACATAACAATTTAGTTATCATCCCAATTGCTAATAGATTAGAAATCAGAATTGTTATATTATATACTAGGGTGATGAAGAAGAAAAATGGGCAGAAAAAGCTGTGGACAGTTTGGTTAAAAAACTGAAGAAGCGCAAGGGAGCCATTGAGGAACTGGAGAGGGCACTGTCATGTCCAGGAACTCCTTCCAAATGTGTCACCATACCACGCTCACTAGATGGTAGATTACAGGTAATTCAATCTTTTTTCATTTTCATCATCATCAGCCATGTTAAGTTGTCACTGTAGGAGCTTGGGTCTTATGGACGGTTAAAGAGGTTGGGGCCCTCCACGCAGGCCCAATGCAGATTGGAAGGTATTAACGATTTCAGATGCTGTTGGGACCAACAGTTTAACGTGTCTTCTAAAGTACGGAATAGCTTGAGATAATATTTTTTAGTGGTCATTCATCCTGTGACCAACCCTTACGAAAGTTGCTTAACAACAACGATCGCGGGCCGCGGCGCTACCATCATTTTGAAGACAAGAAAGAAATCTGCTGTTTTATGTACATGACTTATTAAGTATTGGAATCCTAGAACTTCATTATGTATAAATCTAGATCAAAGTTGAGGATATTCTGTTCTATTTTTTCGAATTTGGTACTAGTGCGGTTTGTGGATGATCAAATCCTTCATTAAATATTTTACAAGTCTGATTCCTAGTTGTATAATTATGCTGTTATAATGGTTAATTAATAAAACAAATAATAATATGTAATTGAATAGGGGTGTAGATGACTTTTTTAAAATATCTTGATTTGATATGTACATGAAATATATATTTGTCATACGCTGCTTACTTTCACGTGTCAATGAGTATTAATAATTGTTTTTACGTAATAAAATTTTTAACATAATTGAAATAATTTAACCAGTCACTATCGGTTAGTATATTAAATACTAACAGAAAAAAATAATAATATGTAATTATTTTCGTTTACTGTCTACACCCATATATTATGATATAGAAAAAAAATATACTGTATGCAATATACATTCACTTTTTCATATTCAGGTGTCACACAGAAAAGGTTTGCCGCACGTCATCTACTGCCGCGTGTGGCGCTGGCCGGATCTCCAGAGCCACCACGAGCTCAAGCCGCTGGAGATATGCCAGTACCCATTCAGCGCTAAACAGAAGGAGGTGTGCATCAATCCTTATCACTACAAACGCGTCGAGAGTCCCGTCCTGCCGCCCGTTCTGGTGCCGAGGCACTCGGAGTTTGCGCCCGGACATTCCCTTCTGCCCTTCCAGCGGACCACGGAGCCGGCGATGCCCCACAACATGTCCTACTCGGGCTCCGGGTTCCCGCCGTCCGCGAGCTCCGAGCTGCCGGAGACTCCGCCTCCCTCGTACTCTCCTCCCTCGGACGATTCGGAGCCCCCCGGGGAGGTGGCCCCGGTGTCGTACCAGGAGCCGTTGTATTGGGCGTCGATCGCTTACTACGAGCTGAACTGCCGCGTGGGGGAGGTGTTCCACTGCAGCTCGCACACGGTGGTCGTGGACGGGTTCACCGACCCCTCCAGCAACAGCGACCGGTTCTGTCTCGGGCAGCTGAGCAACGTCAACAGGAACTCTACGATAGAGAACACGAGACGTCACATAGGCAAGGGCGTCCACCTCTACTACGTCGGCGGGGAGGTGTACGCCGAATGTTTGTCGGACGCGGCTATATTCGTTCAGAGTCGCAACTGCAACCACCACCACGGCTTCCACCCGTCGACCGTGTGCAAGATCCCCCCGGGCTGCTCCCTGAAGATCTTCAACAACAGGGAGTTCGCTCAGCTGCTGTCGCAGAGCGTGAACCACGGCTTCGAGGCGGTGTACGAGCTGACCAAGATGTGCACGATCAGGATGTCGTTCGTGAAGGGCTGGGGGGCGGAGTACCACCGCCAGGACGTGACGTCGACGCCTTGCTGGATAGAGATCCACCTGCACGGGCCGCTGCAGTGGTTGGACAAGGTTCTGACGCAGATGGGCTCGCCTCACAACGCGATATCTTCCGTGTCCTAGTCGTGCTGAGCCCCGTCCGCCTCCCGCCGGGGGGAATGTCCGAGAGCAACCCACCGAGCTTCGTTAACCTAATCTCGGTGCAGTCGTGCATTTTCATTCTGTGTGAATTTTCTAGAGTTGTATATAAAAAATTGTGACGTCTCCAATCGTCCCCGAATTCGTTTCCCTCGGTAATGCAGCTCAAAAGTACGTGTCGTTTCAGAATTTTAAGACGTAGGCGTAATTATTATAGATACTAGTGTAATGTTAAGTGAAAATTATACTCGTGAATGTATATGACAAGGTAAAAGATATTATGTTGATGTAAATAAGATTTATTTTTGCTGAACGAGTGTGGCATCTAAACGAACAGTTATCTGGCACAAATATTTGAAGAATGCGAATTGAGTATGAAGAATTATTTTAGATATAAGTATGTATATTAGCGTCGATCGTGTATTCGCTTTGAAACATGTCGAGGAATACGATTTGTATGATCGTACAGCTCGTTAGGTTTCCTGTAGTCGTAGTCTGATTTTGTGGCTTCCTGGAGTCTGCCTCTGAACTCTCGCAAACTTCCGCAAACAGAATATGGGCGATGACTGGGCAAAAAAAAAGAAATTATATTTAGTTCGTCAGTTAGATAATAGCTAAATATTAGATACGTTTTTTTTTTGCTCCAATTCAACTAGAAATGGCTTGTATTATCTGAGCGGTAAAGATGAGGAGTGGGGGCTCGCTACGTCACAGCTATGTGGAAAAGGTACAAAGGTGTGACGTCAAGCGATATTTCAACTTAATGTATCGCTGTAATTTATTGATTCTGCAAACAAAATGCGTTTATTATTCTTCAATAATCACGACGTAATCGATACGTCTAGAATAGAATTCGTATGTGAGTAGGCGTGTTAAACTATCTTCTCGATATTTGCATAGCGCCACCAATGGTCGTAAGGGATCTAAGGTTTCCAATGAATACTTTTTAAGTTTTTGCTTACAAAGTTACATACTCTACGGCAGGGGTGACCAACTTGTTTAGACCCAAGATCGACTTTTCACTGACGACACCCAGTACGATCTACCAATTACTTCTTAAAATCTTAAATGAAACAGCATAGTTTGTACATTATATATTTATAGTTATACACTATGTATTTATATTTTTTGAATTGCCACGATCAACTGGGCTAATAGTCGCGATCGACAGGTTGGCCACCCATGCTCTACGGTTTTCCGTGCTACGGATACTTTATAAACTATATTTTATCATGTAAAACGTATTATGACACATCAGCCAGTTCACAAGCGTCCGTTAAGGTATAATGACGCCTTTAAGCTCCAATGGATGTCAAAATTGTATGGGTAAGTGCGTTACAATTAATGAAAATTTTAATGGACGATGTGCAACTGGCTGTATATCGTTTTTACTAAATATCTCATATGTTTGAACTTGTATATGTCGATGGAACCAATTAATTTAACAGATATTCAGTGAGTTGCACTAACGTCCGTTAAAGTTCTCATTAGTTTAAAGTGACATTACCCATACAATTTTGACATTCATTAGAGCTTAAAGGCGTCATTAAACATTCATGGACGTTTGTGCAACTGGCTGGCTGACTCAATAACAGTAAATTTTAAAAGGCTGACGATGATATTTTTCATTATAGATTCTAAGAAGCCACAATATCTTAATGAATAATTTTAAGAGAATTATGTGTTCTTATAGAAATATTTTATAAGCATATTTTTATATACCAAATAACATTGTTATGTGAATAACTTAGTTTTGTTGTAATGCAAAAGATCACAGACGCGTATTTTATCTGCAGTATTCAATTATATTATTTAGTTGTCATTCTCAAAAAAGATAGGCATGTCTGAATTATTATACTATATGTTTCTATTCAAAGTTTATCTTGTTTCTAATTGTTGAATAAAATTATTACAATGCCATTTAAGTAATTTTTCAGTTTTCTAGTAAACTAAACGAATTTTTGTTTAAAGTGTTTCAATTATATTAATTGTATAAATACTTCATTTTAATTTCATAGAAACAACAATACTGTTATTTAATTTAATAATATAATAATATGTTTGTTTATCAGCATGACTTGACATTTTTTGTTGATTGGTTTATATAAAAAACTCATTTTAATATTAATTGGTTTTTTCATGCATTATACATTTACTGGTATTTTTTCATACATTCTTATATATTTAATTTTAAGGATATATAATTTAGAAATCATTTTTTTTTCTACTTGTTGTTCATTTATTATAAGTTGAGTAACATTACACTCGAGGAAATGATAGGGTACATTTATTTTACATAATAATTGCACATATTTCCATCATCGTTCGCTGTGATGGAAGTAAGTTCCAATGAATCTGATGGTGTGATACAACATGTAACCATGTTATTTGGTATTTCCCATAAAGTCGTGCCATTACGGACATCCTAATAGGGAATCGTATATACCTGTAAATTTTATTAAGAGACTTAGTTTGGGAACGAACTCTAAGACATGTTATATTACAAATGTTACGAGTGAATAAATTTATATACACATATAAATTGTGAAACTTATTTGTTCAGAGTTGGGACTAACCGGCGCGTTTGCTAACTTCAGCGTTTCTCCATCTTCTTTCACCGCGGAGAACTAGAGTGAGAGAGTTAGATTGTGTGATTGCTCACTTAATAGTCGATTCGAGAACGCTTGTTAGTGGTTAGTCCGTAATATGTGGCCTATATGAACCAAAAGTGGGGCACCGTATACAGAAGAAAAATAAAGATGAAATTGATCTCAATAGTATTGATTAAGAATGATTAAGTTCCTCATGCGAGTGACTGTGTCGTGCCCCATTGCCTTGAAGGTGCAATTCGAATAGAAAAATCGTTAAGGCAATCCTAAATATTTTTTAGTATGGTACATTGGAATTGAAAATATACACTCAAATATGTACTTTATTTACACATCGTTTCAACTTAAAAACGTACTCAGTTTTATTGTTTTTTATTATAGAAAAAAAACTTTTTTTTTTTTTTGTATAGCTGGATTGTCGTTGCAAATAAAACTTATTGTCTCAATACATGCCAATATGAGACAGACAGTACTTATATTTGTTTTCCAATTATGTTTGGCAACTAGATGCTATTTACTCGAGATGATGGATGGTTAACAATATAAAATAATTACTGGCAGTTTTAAACATAAAGTACGGAAGTCTTATTTAAAATTCAACAATTTTTATTTTTATTGCAATATTCATATTTGCAGATTTATTCTTTAAAACGAATATATTTAGAATGCAATCATTTTAGCCCTATAAAAATGTGCTGAGAAGAACCTTTATGAAAATCTAGACATTGGGAATGACTGTTGTTTTGTTGTAACGTTCTTTTTAGAACTATTTCAATCATATTTATTAGCATAAGATTTGTGCTTGGAAAATCTTTTATAACAAACAAATTGATGTCTTCGACAATTCCTTTCATCTTATATTACAGATGTCTATTCATAGTCTGTAAAATGTGCCTGTATATAATAAGTAAACCGTCCATATATACGACTTCTTTGGTTGAATCTTTCGTACTAAATTCTAAAAAAAGTATGATCGATGTATATTTCAAATATTTAGTCATTTGTTGCCATAAACATTAATGTTAATTATCTATGGTACGGTACAGTAAAATAGTCTATGTCAAGATAGGTTCAGCCAAGGAATGTTACCTTAATAGAAAAAAGTATATGTATATCTATATAATTTTTACTTCTATGACAGATACAACTTGCATATTTTCTTATAAGTTCTAGTTGATATAGTGCCTTTTTATGACGTACGACGTGGATGCCTTATTTTATTTTATTAATTCAAAGTATTTAGACACGAACAATTATAGTTATTGCATTTTTTTTTTCTATTATTAATTGACCATAGAGTATAGTGCCTAATTGTAAAACAAGGTATGTGACACCGGTTGAATGCCTTATTTTAAATAATTCTCATTGTTTCTTGATAATGTACAGGGTCATAGAGAATGTTTTATTTTGTATTCTAAAGCCTGTTATAAACTAACTATGATATTGAAAAGAAGAGGAAAATGTATATATGATTTAAACTGTAGAAAACATTTTTTTTTATATTCTAATATATATATATATATATGTTTCATAGGTGAAAGTATTGTATCACTTTTTTGATAGCTTAGGTCCTTCTCACACAAAGCTACTCAAGAGTGACGGTATTAATAAGTGATTACTTACACACCAAATAGAAACTAAATTCACACTCGCACACTGTCCTACTCAACTTGCACGGTACAGTAGTCCTCGCGAAATCAGGTGATCATCATTAACCGGTGGGGACCGTCTTATGTTGCTAAACCATAACTGTCCGGTTTATAACAAGTCACGTATGAGAATGTATAGGGCCTATACTATAGGCAGTGCTGCTGAAGCAACTCATTCGAAATTCGAATTTGTAACTATTTTATTAATCGCTCCATGTGCGAAGGACTTCAGATGCAACGTTACGGTTACATTTAAATTTGACCTTCGATAGATGGCGCTAGTGTTTGAAAGCAAATTTTTGTTATAATAATGTATTTTGCGTTTATAACACTACATTATTAATTCATTGGAATATTATTATATTTAGTGACACAGTACTTTTACTTAAAACCGAACGATGGTGTATACAGTTTTGAACACTTATGCGAACTGGTTAAGGTTCAAATTTAAATATTAAAAAAGTATATGTGGATTTTTCTGCATGTTAAATTTAATAATAAGATAAGATAAACTACGTATTCAAATTAAAGAGATCAAAATTAAATGTATAACTACTATTTACCAATTCGTCTAAATTCAACAGAATTGCATTACGTACTGGCAACCATATATCATTATATATTCATATATCTCCCTGCTTTTAAACCAACCACGGGTCCACCATGTGGCACAACCTTAATAGACTTTTGACATCACATTTTTACTGCATAGTTAGGTAGTTTTACACACGTGGCTAACTATGAAATTTTGACTAACGCACACAAGATAATAATAATTCTGTGGTTAAGGCGTCATCTATTTTGTAAAGACTTTCGTAGAAATGCGCTTAAAGTTTGATTTTGTAACTGACATTTGGCTTTTTTTGGGTGGCTGTCACATAGCAGTTTATAAACCTACATCCGCGCTTGATTTAAATCTTATCATATTTAAAATTAAGTTCAAAATTGATATTTTGTGCTTACTTAATGTGCCGCATTATATCTAGGTATACCACCATAAACAATTTCAGTGAATCGCTAAGTGTGAAGTCGTTATTGCTCACTTTTTTATTAAGCTCACATGGACTTTAATAGAATTCGTATCTTACTTAACTACAGTTAGTTCGTATGGCTCATAAACTATTTGTTTCATAAGCGTTTCTTAACATATACATACTTTGAAATGGTAACGGATCCGATTAAGGTGTGACGTCACACGGTTTCATTTGTTTTGCCGGTTAACAGATGTCGCTAGTGTTATAATTTGATGTTTTTTTAGCAATGAAAATATTTTTTAGTATGAGTATAATATTTTGCGCTTATTATTAATGTAC